CATCTGCTCTCCTGTTCTTTCCGTCACCTTCTCTCCCTCTCTCTCCCCTTCCCTCCCCCTCCCTCCCCCTTCCTCCCTCTGTGTGCACCATCAACTCTTACCAGGAAAGTTCTAGTTTCAAGCAAGCATTGTGTAGGCCAAAAGCAGACAACACAACTCAATTCTTTGTGAGCACACATCTTGCCTGCAACACACTGCTTCAACTGAGAAAGCCCATTCAAGGAAAAAATGGCGAACATCAAAGGTTGGACTTACATTCCCGCGGCTTTTGCTGCCTGGACGCCACTGGGCGCATCTTCAAACACCAGCACGCTCTCAGGTTTCAGCGATGAATCCTGCATTACAGCCAAACGAGTGTACACACACCAAATTCATTGTTAGTATGCTGTTTTGTATGTATGCGTCGTCGAAGATCATTCACTGGCAAACTCTGTTCTATCCAAGACAATTTGATTTTTTTTTTAACATGAAATACAGCACGAGACCGAATCTGGAGAAGTGCAAGCTCCCCCTCACCTGTGTGGTTGAGCAGGAAGTGAGCACATGTCCGTACGCTTGGTGCCCACTTACATGGGAGGTAATGAGTTAGCAAGCACCCCTGCACCAAGGGGTGAGTCCCCTGCATAAGTCCATGCATCTGGACTCTGGAGACCATGGCTGAAGTGTTGAAAGCACATAAGCCTCCACCACCAACTCTATCTATCCTTCTTTTCCACCTTTTTTCCACGATTAAAAAAAACAGGAGCTTATGATCCCGGCTCCATTCTATTCTTTCCGTCCTTTCTAAGAGTCAGATAACGCAGCAATCTCCCTCAAGGGCCTCAAGCAAAAAGAAACAACCACGCTATTCATTCCACACAAGTACCACAGCAAAGCAGAACACAGGCCCCCCTCCACACCACAATAGAAACCCAAACAATGTGGGTGAAATCATTTCACAAAGTCAGTCCCAAAGTTCCGGTCCCAGAGTCCCAATTTCTCCTGGTCCCAGGCTGTCCCGGTAGGTCAGTCCGTAGGGTCCGTAGGTGTCGGGTACTGAAACATTGCAGGTAGGTAATAGTCCATCGGTACCTGAAAAGGAAGCCAAGTCCCAAGTCCAACTCCACAGTAGTGTCCCAAGAGAATCCGACGACTTTCCGAAACACCAAATTTGGCAAGGCAGAGGCCGCGGGCGACCGGAACAGTCCAAAGCAAGCACAAATCAGTCAACTGCAACTATATTTAGCTGCTACAGTGCCGTGCCTCGACAGCGGTTCATTCACAAAGTTGCGGAAGCGCTGCTAGTTGCTTGCGCGGTAGTGCGACCTGGACGAAGGACAAGCGTCGGGGAAGGAAGCAAGCGTTGTCGAGCTCATCGGTCCGGCACCGCACGGGGCAGCGCGGGACCCTCTCGGCCGCGTCACGCAGGAGTTGGACCAACCTCGTCACGAACATATAAGTGGAGCCTCCTTAGGCCGCTCCGGCCGAGTGCGCCAGCCATACCTCTCGCGAGCCCCTASGACAGGATAGGGCCTACGCGAGGCACGACTTACCTCCACCTTACGGGAGTTGTCACCTCCCTTCGGTGGGCGTATCCCCGCCGAGCTACCAATCCACAGTACGAAAGCTAATCAGTTGCAATCGCAGAGGTGGACCAGCCGAGGGCGTTTCTCGTTCGCTGTAGCATAGTGGGTACGCGCGGTAATACGCCTGTCGGACCCGCACGCGAACCGGCATCTTGGGGGGCTGAAGTCCCAAGCGCGGCTCGACGTCGACCGACTAGGACGCATCCCACACACCACGCGCACACCACTCTAACAACCACAAGACAACAACACACACTCGTACACACGAAACGACACTACACAAACAACGTGACAACGCTCCTAGTCCCTCGGTAGCCATCCCATAACTTTCCGCCGCGGAAATCTGATAGGTGTCGCGCGCGAGACTTAATATAAACCGCGCGGACGCAGGGCCTACTCATATCGACTCACAATGCACCCATACGCAAGCGGTCACAGTGATGGCATACTATGCAGTACCTATACTCACGTGGTCCTGGTTAATCTCGAGGGCCGCGTTCGACACTCAAGTGTCGGCTGACACGCGCCTTGAGGGTTAATCTCTCGACGCTGGACAACCGCGATGCGCGGTTGAAGATCACACACCCTCTTCTGCACCCTGTGCAGAGTGGGTGGTACACAGGTTCATACCTGTGGTGGCAGTCGCCTCTTACTGCCCTGGAGATGAGTCCCACTCCGGGCCTGGGCAAAGGTCAAGGGGTTTGGCTTTGACGGCTGCCACGGACTACAACGTTCAACTATAAAAATTAACAAGCAAAATCAGCTAGTAAATAAACAGGTATCCCAATACCCGTATATCAAATCCAGACCCGAGATAACAAATAAAAGGAGGGGGAAACATAAACCCATCAGGTATGCAGATCGCGCCACACATGGTTGCCATTCTCATTGCCTCCAAAGTATGGCTCATATACCAAGCTTCAAAGTACTAACCTGCATAGAACACGGGCACACACAATAGCCACATTGCCATACACCAATGTGGTCAACTTTACTGTTCCCTGTAACTCACCCCACGCCTCACACACTCAAGCCCCAGTCATGGTCAAACTCTCCATAAATCTCACAAGTTCTTTATAATGGCCATTAAAAGAAGTCCGGTTAAAACCTTCAAAGAAACATATCAAGTCTCAGGGCTAACGCAATCGAGTTGAGGTACAGGTATGAGCAAAGTTGTGTCGTGAGCTGACAAGTCGGCGATCAACCAACCGGCCTGTTATCAGTGATAATAGAAGATGATCCTCGTAGGATCAAGCTGAAATTAGTCCAAATCTTGAATCAATCGACCAAGAGGACTTGTAAGACAAGACAGACCAATCCCCAAGCTAAATCATCAGCATATGGGGGATGAACCTCCATAGCGGATGAACCTCCATAGCACATTCTCACTCAAGCTATCTGCCAACTAGGTCTAAGCCTACCTCTAAGCCAATGCTCAAAGCAAGGGTAGGCTAATGGCAGAATCTCCCCTATCCAGGGTGGATCGCTAGAATCGCCACCTATCAAAATATAATCTAACTCCTCTAAATCAAGAAAATTTCGGCAACGCTTCCCGTAGGAAAAGTGCCTTTTCAGAATTTATATCAGCCCAAATATGAAAACAGGAATAACCTTTGACTTTCCAAAGTCCAATTTTGTCTAACTCCCTCAAATAGCAAAAAATTTGGGCAGCACTCCCCTTAGAAAGGGAGACTTCCCAGATTTTTACTAAGCCATATATGAACTTTAGACAAGTTTAACTTTGAGAAGTAAGAAATTTGACTAACTCCTCGGATTTGCATAAATTTGGGCAGCGCTTCCCGTAGAGAAAGTGGTTTACCAAAATTTATACAAAGCCAAGTATGACAAAAGATCCCAGAAAATGCGAGAATTGACCTAAGTAAAAATAAACTTAGCTCAAAAAATGCAGGAATTGAAACTAACTCCTATGGCTCTAGCACGTGGCGAGCGACTAAAGCAACTACCTATCCAACTGAAACTCAGACCAAGTAGTAGCCTCAATCAGTCACATGCAGGCCAAACCACAAAGGTAAGTACTCTCACCATTCCCAAGTCAACCTGAACAAACAATAGTTCATGATCTTTCAATGATTTAGCCCTATATACCCAACTTACATAAGGCGTAAAGTCAGGACACCCAAACTTATGGAATGAACCCAACTTAGCCAGAGTATACACAAACACAGGGCACAACTACTTTTCTCTTCTTTGGGCATATGACTAGACCATTCTAGCTGCCCTGAACTGTTTAAATAGCCAAATTATATATATTTGTCTCTTCCCCTTGTCTTTTAAGGCTGCATATGACTGAGCTAGCCTAAGTTCAGTCTGCCCCAGCTTACCACCAATTTTATTCTTAGTTATACTCTCTTCAAGTTGTGATAGGCTATAGTCAGACCACCTAAACTTATAGAACAGTCTGATTAGCTCGTTCTAAAATAGGATAATAATAACGTATAGCCAAATTGTAACCTTGGGTTCCAGCATGTGCGAGGCTTTGAGCCAGACCCCCTGAACTTACAGAAGGATCTAACTCTCTGCCAAGTTCATTTCTCTCTGAGCCATCATGTGTGTGGCATTGAGTCTAACCCCCTGAACTTACAGAAGGGTCTGCCCCTTTGCCAGAGATTACTTTCTCAAAATAAAAGCAGGAAGAGACTGAGCCACCTGAACTTACAGAACAGCTCGGCCCCCTCGTTCAGAAACAAAGAAACTTAAGAAAACCCAAGAAAAACAAGGCAACTCAGGGTACCTAAACTTATAGAGCGCCCTGAGCTCCTGAAAATCAAACACAATCAAACCTCACAAGTCAGAGCAGTCAGGTCACCTAAACTTATAGAGCGTCCTGACCCTCCATGCAATCCAAAATAAAATAGAGCACTGGGTCTCCCCAACTTATGGGGACCTCCCAGATTCAACGACCCGGTCATCCACATGCATTTCAGCCCTCCATCCTGCCTTTCCCAGATGCAATTCCTTTCACAATCTCATTTTCAGGCACTCAACAAAACTGAAACTGCCATTGCGCACATATTCCTTTATTTAATCTGACTTATGTCCTGAAAGTCAAACCAAAAGTCAAAGTAGGGGATGCATGCAGTACGCTCAGTCAACGCATAGAGAGAGGTACAGACATGGGTTATAACTGGGTTTAAAGCGGGGAAAGCAATAGTTACCTGTCGGTTCCCTGCCTCCAGAACTCCTCCTACGTTCCGGCAGAGCTCCCGCAATCGGTGGGGCGAACCTCCCACAGAGGCCTTGGCGCGGATTACGGGTTGCAATCCCGCCTGCCGCCTTCCTCTCCGAACCAAGTAGACTAGATTTAGATTTAGAAGGGCAGAAGAAGTAAAATGAGTCTCTCAAGAGGCCAGAGAGGTACTCTCAGACTCGCGTGAGAGGGCCTCGGTTCCTTAGTTCGCCTGAGGGCCCCGCAATGGTGGCCAAATAGTATCAGCTTGGCCAACTTCTGAAGTCATCCTGCCGAAATCATCTCCCTGGCGTCCTTTCAAATCGCTGCTACAACCTCGCTAGGTTCCAGCCCTTCCCCTTAGGCCACGCGCGGCACACATAGTCCCGCAGAGCCCCCGTGGGATCCCACATGAATAATACTCCACCTGCGACTGCAGGGTGCCGCCACCGCATACGAAGCTCAATACGCCGTGGCACTGTCTCAGCAATGCCTAACAACCAGTACAGACTGCGCCCTTCTGCAGTCTCCCCTCTCCTTAGCTGCTGTTTGAGGGCGGCAACATACCGTTAAGGTAAGTTGACCGCTACCCCTCCAATCTGTCGTACAGTGCTTGTCCCTTCAGTTGACATCCTGGGCAGTGTCATAACAGCTGTCGTGGAGGACAGCAGTAATCACGGCGACACCTACAGAGGAAGATGCCTCAGTAGCAGCTCACAGAGTCCCCTCACAGTAGTGGCCTACAACCAACAACAGCCGCAATCCACGGGAGTAGTTAGTACGAGCAACAGTAAACTGTAACTGGCGTGGCTGCGAGCTCGCCACAATGGCTAACTTCCCCCTCGCAGGTCAGCCGGTCGCATAATAGAGCCCAACAGATAGGTAAGTCCACCTCCCCGCGACTCGTCTGCCGCTTCTCAGGCTGATTGGCTGACTGGCACACCGGTCAACTAGTAAGTCTGCAGCACCTTCTCTCAAACCAAAACTCCCGACTCCCTCGTTCAGGCAGTAGGATAGCGGCGTGACCCTGTCGGCCATACAGTAGGCAGATCGCACCTGACGTCCCCGCTAGCCCTCTTCGGGTTCCCTGCACACCAGTCTCCAATCCCGCGACCGTCGCTACGCAACTTCCATTAGCGGGACGAGCGTCGCCCCGGCTAGCAGGTAAGTCCTTGTGTTACGGCCGGCCCCAACACTGTCTCCACGGGGGTGGGGAGCAAACTCGAACGGATCTCCCACTAGAACCAGGCCGGATACACCCGCCAGGTAGGCCTGTGTTCAGGCTCTCTCTCTCTCTAACTGAACTAACATACTAATGGCCAGGCTCACTCTCACCCCCCCCCGTACTAACTCGCCCGTATGTATCTCCTGGCGCGTCTGCGCCGTGCGTTTGTCCCCACCTTTACAAGTCGACGAGCGAAAAGAAACAAAAACGAATGAACCTTCTACCCAAAGGTGGCTACATTCATTCGCTTTCTCAAAGTTGCTCCCTCCTCTCCGAGGCGCAGTTCCTCCCCTCCATACCATCAACCCCATTCACTAACTTCAAAGACTAACTCCCCAGTCATGCTCGCAATGTCCTAAAACCCAAGTTAGCGCCCTCCCTCTCCCGTTTTCGTCACGGGACGGGCGGGTTACCTTCTCCCCCGCCGGCCATCCTCTTCTCCCGCCATATCCCAGCGCACACACCTTTCTTCACCACTCCTCCCTTACCCACTTTCGTCCCCATCTAACCATCCCATCCGATCCGCCCAAGGCCAAAACCCAGGGGCCGCTTCTTTCCCTGCCCAAATCCGTTCACCGACGGGCGAGCTATGCTCTGCCTCCTTCCTTCCTTCTCCCTCCCACCATAGCTCGGCGCACCTCCTTCCTCCACTAACTCCTATTCTACTAACCCAGTACTAATTCTGACTACTAATTCAGATTCGCCCTCGTCTAAAACCCCTCCTTGGTCCCTTCTCTCACTCGATTCTACTGAGAATCGAGTGCGATGTCCTCCCTCACTCCCGCCATGCTCATCCTCCAGCTCCACTCCGCTTCCCACCTTCCCGAATGCACCCGGCGCGTTATCGCGCCCAGGTTCACCCTTCTTCCACTGCCTTGCTACTCCTCGATCGGCCCGCAGCTGCGCTCTGCCCGTCAGCACGCCGTAGCTTTCTGCCCGTAGGCCCGCTGTGGCACTCTGCCCGTCGGCCCGCTGCTCTGCCCGTCGGCTAACAACCGCAATAGCCCGGCCTAATCCCCTATCGACCCCGGCCACTGCGTTCTTCCTCCCTGCGCTTACCCCTGCTCCGCAGTTGCCCCCAACGTGAACCCCCGTCCAGATTCGCCCCCCCCTTTTTCTGCACAGCCCTTGCCACCCTACAGGCTGGCCCCCGCCACTACGTGCGGCCTTGGGCAAAGACTGTTGTCGCTCAGATAGGGGGTGCGGGACAGGGGGGGGGGCATAGTGGCCGGCCCTTCAAGGAAGATCGGTCCTAATGTTACCGGCTAACCCCCGGCTGGCCCCGCCCAACTGCTCCGGCAGGTATCACCCCCGCTGGTGGGTGCCGCTCCCGCATGTTCCCTCGTTGGGAGGCTTGAGTCCGGACGAGGCTGCTGCGGGGTTCCCCACAGTACTAGGAAGGGGTAACCTCAGCGTTGCACTTCTGGCAATCCCGTGAATACAACACATCCCCGCGCGACCTCACCTGACCCGACACGTAGGTTATCTACATTCACCACTACCGGCCCTCTTACCTCAAGTGAAATTACGAACTCAGACCCCAACTGCGTCCTGTTCTCAGCAGCGCTGCGGCTGAGGGCATTAGCCGGCATCCCGAGCACGCGAGGAGCCGGAACGAGCCCACCAAAGGGACGCGTACGCAAGGCCCTCGACTGCCGAAACAGCCACTAAGTCCGGCGTCACGCCCGGGTTACGCAAAACGCCGGAGCTTGCGAGAATTTAATACAACAATTATTTAATATAAGAAACAAACAAACGCTGTGCGCCCCGCTGGCCGGTGACGCCGCGCACGCCTAGGCAGCGCACAGTTGCGCCTCACCGTCGATACCCCACGCCGCCACGCGCGCCTCTCACCCTGACAAGAACCTATGCTTCCACTCACGCGCACACCGTCAAGCGGGCGACACCGCACTTGTGCGACTTGCGAAAAACACGCCAAATACCCTTGTAAGGGTATTTGGTACGACAGCGCCCTGGCAACGGCAGTCGACCATAGCTAGGATAGTAGGGAGTAGGAAGACGGCGGCCATAGTCGCCAAGGTTCGAAGTGATACATCACAGAGGCATTAAGGATAGATCCTCGAGGGAAGAAAGAGAGTGAGCGCATGCAGTGAGGTTGCGCGATGCAAGAGTTGAGCGCGAAAGACATTTGGACATCGAGAGAGCGAGAGAGGGAGAGCGAGAGAGGGAGAGACAGTCAAACAGTGAGCGAGGGGGGGAGTCGGGTACATAGCTGTATCGTGCTTGTGGTGTCGGACGCGTTTGCAGACCGCTGATTACCTGAACTCTTCAAATGTATACTATCAAAATTTTGAGCGGACATTAAATTGCCGCTGCTTCATGTGTCGGCTCTCAGTTTATGCTGAAAACGCCTTAAGAGTTGGAAGTTCTCTACATGCATGTGTCTTCTGAGTTGGATTTTGCGAGGTTAATTGCATGTGTGTCATGATAGCTATACTCAACTCCACAAAAAAAGCATGACTGTGCTAGACTGTTTTGCCAGACTTTCCCTGACTCATCAGAAGGTTGAGAGTGTGTGTGTGTGTGTG